TTGACTTTTGAGAAGTAGAGGGACGATTGGGAGGAGGTGTCATACGAGATTTCGTCGCTACTGAGGCTTGTGAGAGAACATGAAGAAGCGAGATCAGACTGAGACGTTGAAGTAGGGACGTCTGAGCCGAGGACAGCAAAAGAATTAGCTACAGGAGTGACTATGGGAGAGGTAACCACAGAGGTGGGTGCAGAAGATGGGATACCAGAGGTGGGGGGACGTTTTGAAACACGGGAATAAGAAACACGAGGCAGTCTCCCTTGGAGGCGGAGATGAGAAACTGCCATGGCATAAGGGAGACCTTCTGCCTCTTTGAGGTAACTGATTTCCCGCTCGTTTAAGTAGACTTGACAACGGCGAGAGTACGAAGGGCGAGCCTCATGACAATTAAGGCAAGAGGGAGGTTGATTGCAAGACGTATTAGAATGGTCATCGGCACCACAGACTGGGCATTCAGCGATAGATCTGCAATATTTCGCTGGATGGCCAAATCGCCAGCAATTTCTACACTGTTGCGGTGTAGGGATCACCTTTCGAACTTGTAACCGATGTCCTGCTACATAAACTGAGGATGGGAGTTCACGGCTGTCAAAAGTTAAACGAGCCACATTGCTAGGGTATCGTCTCCACCCGCGGGCAGGAAGAATGTAAGTGTCTACCTTGAGGATTGGGAGATCTTGGAGTTCCAGCTGTTCAAGAATGTCAGTGCCACATGTCTGGAAATTTTGTTGAACTATGGTATGGGGCAGAATGATGGTACCACTACAAGAATTGAGGGAATGACGCTTTTCAATAGTGACAGGAACAGTATCGATATGGGAAAGACGAGAAAGCTCATGAGCCTGGGTAGCATTCTGTACGGTGATGATGCGCGTACCGCTCTTAAGAGCATGAAAAGAAATATCTTTACCAACATGGCGTAGGAGTGCCTTGCCAATACTGTGGTCAGAAAGATAGGCAGTAGAGGAAGTCGGTCGTAAAGTGAAGAATTTAGTCCATTGTGCAGTCTGAAACTGAGCGTGGAAAGGTAGTGAAGGACGTGTCGATCTTTTCTGAGAAGAACGAGAAGGTGGAGAAGTATCATCAGCAGGTAATTGTCGTTGGCGTTTAGGCGTGGAACCAGAGTTGGTCCGACGTGGAACGGGCTGGCAATTTGAAAATTGCCGCACCGTAGAGGGAGAGGCCGGAAGCATAGTCAGAGGAGAGCGAAGGTCAGATAAATCGAAGGAGTCAGTCGAGGCCTCAGTACCTGAAGCGGGTGAGGAAACAGCACCGGCAAGAGGTACAGAGGCATGAGGAGTGTCCGAAGAGTGGTCCAAAGACGAGGTGGGGTCAGAACGGGGTGCGGTATCAAGAAGGGGCCCGGGGGTAGCAGGTTCATGGACTAGGGCTGCCATGGTTAGGTTACTTCTTTCTTTTTGTTTTTAAGAAAAAAAAAGAAAGAAGAAAATAAAATAAAAATAAAAAAAAGAATAAAAAAAGGGGGGACCGGGGAGGGATAGTTCCTAGGAGGAATGAAAGGGCCAGAAATCTCCCTCCGCGCCCAAGAGAACCTCAGCACCGCAAGTAGCGCAGATGCAGCATGGAACCCGTGCCATACCCTACCCATCATGCCAGTAAACCGGCAATCCGGGATAGCAACCTCACATCTGGCGAGCTACCTCGGTGGACAAAAGAGTGGGCGGCCGGAAATCCGCCACAAAGCATACCTCCTTCAGCCACCACCCCCGGAATCCGAAAGGTGGCTTCCAGAGATACACCTGTCGCCCGAGAGACACCCAAAGCCACCCTCCGGGATACCGGAGAGGGATCAGGACATCCCCAGGCAATCCAGATTCCACGGCAAACTACGCCACCGCCAAGAACCTCAACGGAATGGGATGGACCCCAGTACCCTTTTCCCTACCTAGGAACTAGCGTGCCTGTGGAAAAAAAAAAAAAAGAAAAAGGAAGGGCAAAAGGAAGGGGTGGGGAGGAGGAGGAGGAAAGGAAAAAGGGGAGGATGGGATAGGGAACAGGGGATTGGGGAGTAATTAGGTTCGGTCTGAGGAAGTAGACCGACAGGTCTAATTCCTCAGACCAAGAGCCTCTTCACCATGCCAAGGAGCCCCCCTTGAAGAGGAAATCAAGCAGGAGAAAGCTGGTAGGCCCCCATGTGAGAGAATGGGTCTGTGTGATCAGTGTGGACCATATAAAAAATCCTGGAGAATGCAGTGCATAATAGAAAAAAAAAAACTCCGACCATTTTTTTTAATTAAAATGCAGACTTTGTGGTCTATTTTCGTATAGTATTTATGGTTGTATTCTTGTTTTCTTGGTCTTATTTGATAGAATGGAAAACATATTATAGAAATAGAGGTGATATTGATTGGTTTTACTATAAAAAGAACCTGGAAACAGAGCTCAAAGTAGGGGAAATGTTTGATTTTTGCCTATGTTCAAAAGTAAACAAATGATGTCATTGTCCAATAAATGTCCAACTAGCCATTCTAATATGCAGTCATGAATGGGTTGACATTATTTGTACAATTATTACAGTATTGCAGTAGTCTGCATAACAGTAAATCTTCTATTTTTTGTTTGAATAAAAATTCAAAATAGAAAGCAAGAGTAATATCAGAGGGGCCTGGAGATGTGACTGATGAACAAAGAAAATGTTATTTTAGAGCCAGTAATGTCTGCATTGTTCATTCTGGACCTTATTTTGAAACTCATATTTTTTAATTTTCATGAAATTGGCCAAATTGCAAATTTCTGACCACGTTTCTGGGTAGTTGAAATCGGTAAATGGGCAGTTTCCTGTACTCAATCGATAGAAAAAACAGAGTTCTACAGAAATAGCTATGAGTTTGGTCGACTGAAACAATGGAATTAGCCGAAAATAGTGCTCAATGTGGGCAAAATCGCCGATTTGTAAATATCGCCGAGGTCGCTAACTTCGCGAGAGCGTAATTCCATCAGTTTTCCCTCAAATTTAATTTTTTTTGGTGTCATTACAATTGGGAAAAGAATCTCTATAATTTCATAAGAAAAATATTTTGTTTTTTAAATTTTGCAACACCAGGAGACACCTCAAGATTGGGGGTTGCGACAGTCAAGGGGTTAAATCATTATTACATACATGCATTGAAGACCCATGACCCATAACCCATGCCTTATGATTAGCTTTCCACATCACACAAAATTTACTCCTGATGACATTATTTTTCTTGAACACTCTGGGATTTTCAGTGATACACCAGTAAAGGTTTCACTTTGAAATATCCACTAGCTGTACCACCATCAGCAGCAGCTGACGGTGGTACAGCAGCAGCTGACGGTGGTGTAGCAACAGCTGACAGTGGTGCAGCAACAGCTGACCGTGGTGCAGCAGTAGCTGACCGTGGTACAGCAGCAGCTGACGGTGGTGCAGCAGCAGCTGACGGTGGTGCAGCAGCAGCTGACGGTGGTGCAGCAGCAGCTGATGGTGGTGCAGCAGCAGCTGATGGTGGTGCAGCAGCAGTTGACGGTGGTGTAGCAGCAGCTGACGGTGGTACAGCAGCAGCTGACGGTGGTACAGCAGCAGCTGACGGTGGTGCAGCAGCAGCAGCTGATGGTGGTGCAGCAGCAGCAGCTGACGGTGGTGCAGCAGCAGCAGCTGACGGTGGTGCAGCAGCAGCTGATGGTGGTACGATAGTATTTCTCACTCTTTTTTACCACAGGGTTGGCACTATAAGCTTTCTTTGGGCCCATGGTGGCTTATTTAGCAGTTACAAGCACTAAAAACAATGGAATAATACAAAATGTATCAAATGTATGCATGGAACCATCAGCCCTAACTTGTAAACAATGGCACACTAGCTGAAGGCAGGGCAGCTGAGGCGCTCAGGCCGGATGGACAGGCGGACGTGTTCGGGACGAATGCCCATAACCGAGTTTTTCATTATTGGCCGAGCCAACATTTTTACACAAAGACGCATCGATATCCAATTTTATCGCTAGCCGATGTCATCGTTACCCGAGGGTCCACTGTACAGGCTTTTGTTTTACACTCACTTGGCAGGACGGTAGTAAGTCCCTGGGCGGTTGCTGTCTACCAACCTACTACCTAGGTGACTAAATATATAAACTAAACATAGATGAATTGTCATACATTGCTCTTTGTTTTTTATGTTAACAATCCCTTTTCCCCCAAAGGAAGGGTAATCTAAAGAATGAAATAGTGTCCTACACTCATTCATTTCTTGTCCTGCAAGATCATCACAGCTTATTTGACTCTGCAAACCACAACAGAAGCATCCATTCTTTAAAGTGAAAGCACTGTGCTTCCCTCCACCAAGACTCCAAACCCAACCAACCAGTTTCCCTGAATTTCTTAATATATTGCTCACATTCTGACAGTAGTACAAATCCCCAAAACTGCTTGTCTCCACTTAGTCATAGCTAACACTCTCAAACATGTCTACTGAATGCTCAAGCACCCTACAACTAAAATCCTCCTTAGAGTAAGGACTAACTCTTCTACATTTCTTACATCCTCTAAAAGATGTTATGCTGGTAAGAAATGTATAATTCAGAGAGAATGATAAAATGAATTTGTTAAATATAAAGAATATAAGCAAGACAAGTTGTAAAGAAGGTGTATAAGTTTAGGGAGGATGGAAGATAGTGTACCTGTGACTGGCATGGAGGGTTCTTCTACATTAGAGGCACAGCCAAGGGCCAGAGCTGTCTGAGGAAAGGTAGGAAGAAAGGTGTGAAAGGAGTAGGGATCAGAGTGAAAATCCAGCAGAATATATAAGTGGATTAGATACTAGTGAAGGTATGTACTCTGACAGGCTATTATTGTGTAAGCATAATAGCTATGACATTATTCAAGGAAACCACCTAGATACACTTCAGTTTTGGAAGGTAGTGGCAACAATTTGAAAGTTAGGAGGAAAGTACTGAGATTCATTAAGTTAACATTTGTGGTCTTGGAAAGCTGGACAGAGGTGAATGAGAAAGTATCAAGAACTCACTTTATTTTCCCATTCAAATTCCAGCCACATCTGTCGGAATTCAAGGTCAGTGCAAGAGGCTGGAACAATGTAGTCCATGATGTCAACATGAATGTCATTTAAAATGACAACATTACGGTCACTGGTTGATCCTTTAACATCGTAAACTGTATCAAAATAGAAAAGAGCACAGAAGAATGAATATTTACCATTGAAAATGAATGCAGCAGCTGCTAAAGATATAAGTATCACTGACCTAATATTATTAAATTTAAAACAGTACATATAACTTCTACTTGGCAAGAGATTTTTAACACAATTACTCAACCACTTCCAACCAAATTCAGAAATCTCCACATATTATACAATGTCAGTTAAGTCCTTGACTTAATTAGGAGAACATGTAAATAGAGCAAAATCAACTGTTCACATTTAGTTATATGTACCACTAAAATAATATGAATGGTGACCTTATTTGTATTTAACTAAGTTCTCCTAAGTTCAAGCTTCTTCAGTAACTGCAATTTAATAAATTTGTCAGTACAGTAAAAAAAAAAAATAGGAAAAATTTAGCAGTTTCTGAATTTGAAAAAAATTTTGAATTGTAGAATTTATTGGACCTTAATATTTTTTCAATTATTACTATTATTATTACATCTGAGGACCACTAAACCTGTGGGGAGGAGTTATACAGCACCTAGGGGAATAGGAGGCATTCAAGTCTGAGCCAAGGAAGGGAAGAACAGGTCAAATTCCTTGGATCAGAAGCCCCTCACCAACATCAAGAGGGTTATTTTTAAATAAATGTTCATGGTATGCCATAGAAGTTTTTTTTTGGAGTAACTATTTTCCAAAGAAAAAAATATGTATAAAATTACCTATGTTGCCAAAGATGAAGCCATTTTCAGTTGAGGCCACTTTAACATTTGCTTTAATATTACAGAAGTCATGTGGTGCAAGTACAACAGGCTGAGGTTTTTCTACTAGCTTTAGGTCTCCAAGGGTTGCCAGCTCCAAGGTGCAATTCTGTAGTGTGTCTGCAGTCTGGTTGACAATCAACACATCCAGGACAATATCATACTGGTTGATGTGTACATAAGCTTCTGCATACACAGGATCACTAAAGCCAGTAAGCTGTGTTACCTGTAACGATCTCACAGTAGTCAAAACTCGTGGATTAAAAAGCGGATAAAACAACGAGTAAAGCAAATCTCCAATTTAGGATCATTGAAATTACAAACATAATCATGGCATATTGAAGCCAATTAATTTCTTATAAAATCTAATCTACAGACACAAACATTGCTAATAAACAAATTGTTTTCAATAAATTATTTTTTCTCGGTAATTTTTCTTACTAAATGGATTCATACTTTGTGCATATTTATTTTATGCATGTTTGAAAGCTTGAATTTGTTTGGTAGAGACTAGTTAAGAAGTGCAATTTAATAATTACGGTTTTGCGATAGCCAAATAAATATTTATTCTTTGCAATTTTTTTTTTACCATATGAATTAATATTTTGAAAATGTTCATAATGTGTGTGTGGTAGGCTCATGTTTGTTTGATAGAAGTTGCTTAAGACCTATAGATTTAATAATGCTTTGTTTGTTTGGCACTGGCTGGCCATGTCCAGTATTCGACTGATAGCTGACGTGGATCAGCTCAGCTTACACCACTACCACCCCTACACAAGCCTGGACATGCAGTTAGTTGCCTTTACCTCCCCTTCTTATAAGATTTTTTTTTTTCAACAAACCGGCTGTAACCCACTAAGGCAGGGTGGCCCAAATAGAAAAACGAAAGTTTTTCTTTTTAAATTTAGTAATTTATACAGGAGAAGGGGTTACTAGCCCCTTGCTCCTGGCATTTTAGTAGCCTCTTATAACATGCATGGCTTACGGAGGACGAATTCTGTTCCACTTCCCCATGGAGAGAAGAGGAAATAAACAAGTACAAGGACTAGAAAGAAAATAGAAGAAAACCCAGAGGGGTGTGTGTATATATGTTTGTACATGTATGTGTAGTGTGACCTAAGTGTAAGAAAAAGTAGAAAGACGTACCTGAAACCTTGCATGTTCCTATACCATATATCAAGGAAAATATCATCACCGCTGTTTTATAATTTCATTGTTAAACAATGAAATTAAATGGAATAAAAGAATTTCAGAAACGCACCAGGATTGTGAGGGTTTATTTTTTTTTTTTAACAAGTTGGCCGTCTCCCACCGAGGCAGGGTGACCCAAAATGAAAGAAAATCAACAAAAAGAAAATACTTTCATCATCATTCAACACTTTCACCTCACTCACACATAATCACTGTTTTTGCAGAGGTGCCCAGAACACAACAACTTAGAAGCATATATGTATAAAGATACACAACTTATCCCTCCAAACTGCCAATATCCCAAACCCCTCCTTTAAAGTGCAGGCATTGTACTTCCCATTTCCAGTACTCAAGTCCGGCTATATAAAAATAACTGGTTTACCTGAATTCCTTCACTAAGTATTACCCTGCTCACACTCAAACAGCTCATCAGGTCCCAGATACCATTCATCTCCATTCACTCCTATCTAACACACTCACACATGCTTGCTGGAAGTCCAAGCCCCTTGCCCACAAAACCTCCTTTTACCCCCTCCCTCCAACCTTTTCAAGGATGACCCCTACCCCGCCTTCCTTCCCCTACAGATTTATACGCTCTCCATATCATTCTACTTTAATCCATTCTCTCTAAATGACCAAACCACCTCAACAATGCCTCTTCAGTCCTCTAATACTTTTATTAACTCCACACCTTCTCCTAATTTCCACACAGCGAATTCTCTGCATAATATTTACACCACACATTGCCCTTTAGACAGGACATCTCCACCGCCTCCTTGCTGCAGCATTTACAACGCAAGCTTCACACCCATATAAGTGTGTTGGTACCACTATACTTTCATACATTCCTTTCTTTACCTCCACAGATAATGTTTTTTCTCTCCACATATATCTCAATGCACCACTCACCTTTTTTCCTTCATCAATTATATGGTTAACCTCATCCTTCATACATCCATCCGCTGACATATCAGCTTCCAAATATCTGAAAACATTCGCTTTTTCCATGCTCCTCCTCTCCAATTTTACATCCAATTTTTCTTTATCTAAATCATTTGATACCCTCATCACCTTACTCTTTTCTTTGTTCACTTTCAACTTTCTACCTTTACACACTCTCCCTAACTCATCCACTAACCTTTGCAACTTTTCTTAAGAATCTCCCATAAGCACATAAGGGCTTACTGTATGCAGAAATAAAATAACCAAACAGAAGCTAAAAATTAGAACTGAAAATAGAAAAATACTTACTCTGGAATTTGAAAGGTATTAACAGTACATACTAAATACTCAATATATATCAATTACAGGTACCATATGACTTATGACCTGCGCAACATACAACCACTTGACTTACACAGATGTATACTGTAGTTTGATCGTTTATTGACAATGTTTCGCCCACACAAATAGAGGTAGTAGTAGTAGTTATACATGTGGTGGAAAAGTCAGCTGGTACATGAGAACGAAAGGTTACAAAAGATATGGCTTGGGTAGCATAAAAAACAGGTTGGGCAAATGTATATGAATGGATTTGAGAAGGCATGCCCAGTTTAACCCTTTGACTGTTGCAAGCCCCTGTCTGAAACTGTCATTCTATGTCGCAAAAGTTTCGGAAAAAAAAAATATTTTTTCTTATGAAATGATAGACAATCTTTTCTCGATGGTAATGACACCAAAAGTACGGAATTTGGGTGAAAACTCATGGAATTACGCTCCCGCGAAGTTAGCGGTCTCAGCGACATATACGCATCAGCAATTTCGCCGACTTTGAGCCCTGTTTTTGGCCAATTCCGTTGTTCCAGTTGACCAAACTCATGGCTATTTCTTTAGAATTCTATTTTTTCTATCAGTTGAGTACAAGAAACTGTCCATTTACCGATTTGAACTACCCAATAAAGTGGTCAAATTGGTAATTTGGCCAATTTCACGCAAATTAAAAAAGATGCCAATTTCAAAATATGGTCCAGAATAAACAATGTAGACATTCTTGGCACTAAAATAACATATCCTCTGCTCATTAGTCACGTCTCTAGGCCCCTCTTATATTACTAATGCATTCTATTTTGATTTTTTATTCATACAAAAAAATACAAAATTTACTGTTATGCAAACTAATGCATTATTGTAAAAATGGTATAAATAATATCAGTGCACTAGTGAAATAACATTAGACTCCTCAGTTGACGTGTATTGGACGTGTGGTGTAATTTGCTTACTCCTAAACATTGGTAAAAATCGAACATTTCCGCTACTTTGAGCTCAATTTCAAGGTCGTTTTCATCACGAAAGTAATGAAAATCATCTCTATTTCTGTAATATGTTTTCCATTTTATCACCTGAGACCATGAAAATGAGAATACAACGATAAATACTACACGAATATACACCTCAAAGTCGGTGTTTTAATCCAAAAAAACGGTCAATTCTTTTTTTCTCATTACGCACTGCGTGCTGCAGGATTTTTTTTATGTGGTGCACATAAACCACACAGACCCATTCTCTCACATGTGGGCCTACCAGCTTTTTCCTGCTTGATTTGAAGCCGCTAGAATTTACGCGTATAAATACGTCGGAAACAGTGGTGCGTACGACGTAAACAGTCAAAGGGTTAAGAGAACAGACCTGCTGCAGAGTTCCTCCTCTCTTACGTTTTTATGTAATAGAGAAAGGGCACTGAAATGTGCCTTCTCAAATCCACCCATATACATTTGCCCAACCTATTTTTTATGTTACCCAAGCCATAGCTTTCGTAACCTTTCTCATGTATCAGCTGTGTATTTTCTCGGAAATTGTTGATATTAGCGTCGGCTGCTCTCTCTTGCTTGTGTCAGCACTTCTACCCAGAAGGTTCATGTGTATCAACATCACAGTTTTGTAATTGACTCACGAAATCGTAATAACATGACTGCAAACAAACCATACCACAGGTGGGATTAGAACCCGCGATCAGAGTCTCAAAACTCTAGACCGTTGTGTTAGCCACTGGGCCAGCTAGCTGGCAGTATTAAAATGTAGGGCAGAAGTTTGTGGCTATAGGAGAGTGGGTGCAGGAGGAAAGTGGAGTGATTAGTGGAATGAAGAGGTAAAGGGTGTGATAAAAGAGAAAAGGGTAGCTTATGAGAGGTTTTTACTAAGCAGAAGTGATATAAGAAGGGCAGAGTACACGTATATGGATAGAAAAAGAAAGGTGAAGAGAGTGGTGAGAGTGCAAAAGGAGAGCAAATGACAGTGGGAGGCACTCTTAAGAAATTTTGCTGAGAATAGGAAAAAAATTTTGGAGCGAGATAAACAAGTTACGAAAGCCTAGGGAACGAATGGATTTTCAGTTAAAAAAAAGAGTAGGGGAGTCAGTAGATGGGGAGCTGGAGGTATTGAGTAGATGGTGGGAATATTTTGAGGAACTTTTAAATGTCGATGAAGAAGGGGAGGCAGTAACTTCATGCACTGGCCAGGGAAGTATAACATCTTTTAGAAGTGAAGAAGAGCAGGATGTGAGTGTGGGGGAGATGTGTGAGGCATTATGTAGAATGAAAGGGGGTAAAGCAGCAGGAACTGACGGGGATATAGTGTTGGAGTGGTTGGTATTTTTGTTTAATAAATGTATGAAAGTGAGGAAGGTATCTAGGGACTGGCAGAGAGTGTATAGTTCCTTCATATACAGGGAAGGGGGACAAAAGAGATTGTAAAAATTATAGGGGAATAAGTTTACTGAATTCTAGGTAGTGGGTTGGTTGACAGCAACTGCCTAGGGAGGCACTACTGTTTTGCCAAGTTAGTGTAAAACGGAAGCCTGTACTTGTTTTATATGAAGATAGGATTGCTGGTGTCTTTTCTATCTCAAACATGTTGTTGTTGAGTGAAGGTAATGTATGAAAGTATACTAGTACCAACACTCTTATATGGGTGTGAAGCTTGGGTTGTAAATGCTGCAGCAAGGAGGCAGTTGGAGGCAGTGGAGATGTCCTGTCTAAGGGCAATGTGTGGTGCAAATATTACGCAGAAAATTCATAGTGTGGAAATTAGGAGAAGGTGTGGAGTTAATGAAAGTATTAGTCAGAGGGCTGAAGAGGGTTTGTTGAGGTGGTTTGGTCATTTACAGAGAATGGATCAAAGTAGAATATGGAGAGCATATAAATCTGTAGGGGAAGAAAGGCGGGGTAGGGGTCGTCCTCGAAAAGGTTGGAGGGAGGGGGTAAAGGAGGTGTTGTGGGTGAGGAGTTTGGACTTCCAGCAAGCGTGCATGAGCGTGTTAGATAGGAGTGAATGGAGACAAATGGTATTTGGGACCTGACGAGCTGTTGGAGTGTGAGCAGGGTAATATTTAATGAAGGGATTCAGGGTTATTTTATATAACCGGACATGAGTTCTGGAAATGGGAAGTACAATGCCTGCACTCTAAAGGAGGAGTTTGGGATATTGGCAGTTTGGACAGATATATTGTGTATTTTTATACATATATATATATAAGGCTGAAGAGGTTTTTGTGGCATTTATGGATTTGGAAAAGGCGTATGACAGGGTGGATAGGGGGACAATGTGGCAGATGTTGCAGGTGTATGGTGTAGGTACTGAAAGCAGTGAAGAGTTTTTACGAGGATAGTGAGGCTCAAGTTAGAGTACATAGGAAAGAGGGAAATTATTTCCCAGTAAAAGTAGGCCTTAGACAAGGATGTGTATGTCACCGTGGTTTTTTAATATATTTACAGATGGAGTTGTAAATGTGAGGGTCTTGGCAAGAGGCGTGGAGCTAAAAGATAATCACACAAAGTGGGAGTTGTCACAGTTGCTCTTTGCTGATGACACTGTGCTCTTGGGAGATTCTGAAGAGAAGTTGCAGAGGTTAGTGGATGAATTTGGTAGGGTATGCAAAAGAAGAAAATTAAAAGTGAATACAGGAAAGAGTAAGGTTATGAGGATAACAAAAAGACTAGGTGATGAAAGATTGGATATCAGATTGGAGGGAGAGAGTATGGAGGAGGTGAATGTATTCAGATATTTGGGAGTGGACGTGTCAGCGGATGGGTCTATGAAAGAGGAGGTGAATCATAGAAATGATGAGGGATAAAGGGTGAGCGGTGCACTTAGGAGTCTGTGGAGACAAAGAACTTTGTCCTTGAAGGCAAAGAGGGGAATGTATGAGAGCATAGTTTTACCAACGCTCTTATATGGGTGTGAAGCATGGTGATGAATGTTGCAGCGAGGAGAAGGCTGGAGGCAGTGGAGATGTCATGTCTGAGGGCAATGTGTGGTGTGAATATAATGCAGAGAATTCGTAGTTTGGAAGTTAGGAGGAGGTGCAGGATTGCCAAAACTGTTGTCCAGAGGGCTGAGGAAGGGTTGTTGAGGTGGTTCGGACATGTAGAGAGAATGAAGCAAAACAGAATGACTTCAAAAGTGTATCAGTCTGTAGTGGAAGGAAGGCGGGGTAGGGGTCGGCCTAGGAAAGGTTGGAGGGAGGGGGTAAAGGAAGTTTTGTGTGCGAGGGGCTTGGACTTCCAGCAGGCATGCATGAGCGTATTTGAAAGGAGTGAATGGAGACAAATGGTTTTTAATACTTGACGTGCTGTTGGAGTGTGAGCAAAGTAACATTTATGAAGGGGTTCAGGGAAACCGGCAGGCCGGACCTGAGTCCTGGAGATGGTAAGTACAGTGGCTGCACTCTGAAGGAGGGGTGTTAATGTTGCAGTTTAAAAACTGTAGTGTAAAGCACCCTTCTGGCAAGACAGTGATGGAGTGAATGATGGTGAAAGTTTTTCTTTTTCGGGCCACCCTGCCTTGGTGGGAATCGGCCAGTGTGTTAATAAAAAAAAAAAAAAATACTTCTAAACTGTTGTATTCTACGCACCTCTGCAAAAACAGTGATTATGTGTGAGTGAGGTGAAAGTGTTGAATGAAGATGAAAGTATTTTCTTTTTGGGGATTTTCTTTCTCTTTGGGTCACCCTGCCTCGGTGGGAGACGGCCGACTAGTTGGAAAAAAAAAAATTCAGGGAAACCGGTTATTTTATATAACCGGACATGAGTCCTGAAAATGGGAAGTACAATGCCTGCACTCTCAAGGAGAGGTTTGGTATATTGGCAGTTTGGAGGGAAATATTGTGTATTTTTATACGTATATACTTCTAAACTGTCGTATTCTGGGCACCTCTGCAAAAACAGTGATTATGTATGAGTGAGGTGAAAGTGCTGAACAATGATGAAAGTATTTTCTTTTTGGGGATTTTCTTTCTTTTTGGGTCACCCTGCCTCGGTGGGAGACAGCCGACTTGTTGAAAAAAAAAAAAAAAAAAAAAAAAAAAAAACCATGCAAGATTTCAGGTACGTCTTGCTACTTACACTTAGGTCACACTACACATACATGTACAAGCATATATATACACACCTCTCTGGGTTTTCTTCTATTTTCTTACTAGTTCTTGTTTATTTCCTCTTATCTGCATGGGGAAGTGGAACAGAATCCTTCCTCTGTAAGCCATGCACGTTGCAAAAGGTGATTAAAATGCTGGGAGCAAGGGGCTATTAACTCCTCCTCCTGTATAAATTACTAAATTTAAAAAGAGAAACTTGCATTTTTCTTTTTTTGGCCACCCTGCCTCAGTGAGATACGGCCAGTTTGTTGAAAGTAGTAGTAGTTTACTTTGTATACCAGGTAAGTGTATGGTAGGGTTATTATTGAAATAATCAGAGGAAAGACAGAGAGCAGGATTGCGGATGAGTAAGGAGGCTTTAGACTAAATAGGGGATGTGTAGATCAAGAGTTTACATTGAAGCATATACGTGAACAGTATTCAGGTAAAGGCAGGTAAGTTTTCATTGCATTTATAGATTTAGAAAAGGCAAATGATGGAGTGGAGAAGTTGCAAGTGTATAGAATAGGTAGTAAGTTACTAAATGCTGTAAAGAGCTTTTAAGAGGATAGTGAGGCTCTGGTTAGGGTGTGTGGGAGAGAGGGAGACTACTTCCCAGTAAAAGTAAGTCTTAGATAGGTATGTGTAATGCCACCATGGTTGTTTAACATTTATAGATGGGACTATAAAAGAAGTAAATGATAGGGTGTTGGGGAGTGGTGGGAATAAATTATGGGATATCAAATACAAACTGGGAGTTGACACAGTTACTTTTTGCTGATGATACTGTGCCTTTGGAGGGACTCTAATGCAAAGTTGCAAAGGTTAGTGGATGAGTTTGGGAGGGTATGTAAAGGTAGAAAGTTGAAAGTGAACATAGATAAGAGTAAGGTGATGAGGATATCAAACTATTTAGATAAAGAAAAATTGGATATCACATTGGAAGGAGGGAGTATGAACAAAGTGAATGTTTTCAGATATTTGGGAGTTGACTTGTCAGCAGATGGGTTAATGAAGGATAAGGTTAACCACAGAAATGATGAAAGAAAAAGGGCGAGTGGTGCGTCAAGGCATTTGTGGAGACAAAAAAAAAAAAAGACATTATCCATGGAGGCAAAGGGAATGTATGAGAGTATAGTGGCACCAATACTTATATGGATGTGACGCATGAGTTGTAAATGCTGCAGTGAGGAGGCAGCTGGAGGCAGTGGAGATGTTCTGTCTAAGGGCAATGTGTGACATAAATATTATGCAGAGAATTTGGAGTGTGGAAATTAGGAGGAGGTGTGGAGTTACGAAAAGTATTAGTCAGAAGGCTGAAGAGGAGCTGTTGAGGTGGTTTGGTCATTTAGAGAGAATGGAACAAAGTAAAATGACTTGGAGAGTATATAAATCTGTAGGGAAAGGAAGGCAGGGTAGGGGTTGTTCCCAAAAAGGTTAGAGGGGGTAAAAGAGGTTTTGTGGGCGAGAGGCTTGGACTTCCAGCAAGCGAGCCCGAGCGTGTTAGATAGGTGTGAATGGAGATGAATATGTTTTAGGACCTGATGAGCTGTTGGAATGTGAGCAGGGTAATATTTTGTGAAGGGATTCAGGGAAACCGGTTAGCCGGACTCGAGTCCTGGAAATGGGACGTACAATGCCTTCACTTTAAAGGTGGTGTTTGGAATATTGGCAATTTGTAGGGACATCTAAACTGTCATATGTGAGCACCTCTGCAAAAACAGTGATTATGTATGAGTGATGGGGAAAGTGTTGAATGATGAAAGTTTTTTTTCCTTTCTTTTTGGGTCGCCCTGTCAGCATAGTTGCTGATCCCCTACATGTGTTGTATAGCTTATCTGAGTATCATAGTTAGTACCATCCATATGCCTCAGTGGGAACAGCCAGTGTTAAAAAAAAAAAAAATTACCTTTCAAATACAAAGAACAAATGGTGTTGTGACAAGGTTTAAGTACTCAAAAAATAAGAGTGCGTTGCAAATCTGAACCTAAGACTTGCTGTTGTACGAGCCTAACTGGAACATTAAAGTTAACATAAAATGTAAAATGAATCAATGAATAATGTAAATTTACAGAGCCTGTCACAATGACAGGGATGTATCAAGGCATGATTTATCCTGTTTGGTAGAAAAAGTGGCATATAGAATAAATTTTGCTCACTTTTAAAAGAAAAGCAAACACTTGAACTAATAGAAATAGAAATAAAAAGATTAAAATAAATATAAAAATCACTTAAAGGCTAACTAAAATTTTTTTTTTACCTTGCTCAATTTACTTGTGCTCAGATCAATGCCTTCCTTTTTGCCACCACTGACAGCCATAGACATGGACAGGTCAAACATATCATCAGTAGACGAGGGATCGCTGCCTTTTGTCAAATGTGTGAACGCAATGTGGTCATCCACATGCTCAATAACTTTACTGGCTTTGCGATCCCGCCTCAGTGCTTCTTCTTCTTCAGCCTTTGCTGTCAGCATATGGGATAATGCCGAACGGCACTGCTCCGTGAATACAGATGCCAAACTTGGGGTACGTTCTGACACAACCTGTGAAAATGTGTGCATTCATGTAATAATTCACAAGAGGCTCGAAGGCTAATTAAATGCTACTGGTAGACGAAAAATATTTACGGCGACATTAAAATTAAAATTTTTAAAATAAAAATCGATACACATGCTAAAAGAGTTCTACCATAAATATGAAAAAAAAAAATTCAAAACTCTACCCTCACAGCCTAACTTAACCCTTTGACTGTTTTGGTCGTATATGTATGTCTTACGAGCCACCATGTTTGACATATATACATATATACTCAAAAATTCTAGTGGCTTCAAATCAAGCAGGAGAAAGCTGGTAGGCTCACATGTGAGAGAATGGGTCTGTGTGATCAAAGTGCACCATATAAAAAAAATTCTGTAGCACGCAGTGCATAATGAGAAAAAAAAAAACCTCTGACCATGTTTTTGGATTAAAACGCCAACTTTCTTGGTGTATTTTCGTATAGTATTTATGGTTGTATTCTCGTTTTCTTAGTCTCATTTGATAGAATGGAAAACACATTATAGAAACAGAGGTGATATTGATTGGTTTTACTATGAAAAGAACCTTGAAATGGAGCTCAAAGTAGGGGAAATGTTTGATTTTTGCTGATGTTCAAAAGTAAACAAATGATGTCATTGTCCAATAAATGTCCAACTAGCCATTCTAATATGCAGTCATGAATGGGTTGATGTTATTTATACAATTATTACAATATTGCAGTAGTCTGCATAACAGTAAATCTTCTATTTTTTGTTTGAATAAAAATTCAAAATAGAAAGCAAGAGTAATATCAGAGGGGTCTGGAGACGTAACTGATGAACAAAGAAAATGTTATTTTAGAGCCAGGAATGTCTGCATTGTTCATTCTGGACCCTATTTCGAAACTGTCATATTTTTTTAATTTTCATGAAATTGGCCAAATTGCAAATTTCTGACTATGTTATTGGGTAGTTGAAATCGGTATATGGGCAGTTTCTTGTACTCAGTTGATAGAACAAATGGAGTTCTAAAGAAATAGCTATGAGTTTGGTCGACTGGAACAATGGAATCAGCCGAAAATAGGGCTCAAAGTGGGCGAAATCACCGATTCACAAATATCGCCAAGGCCGCTAACTTCATGAGAGAGTAATTCTGTAAGTTTTCCATCAAATTTCGTTCTTTTGGTGTCATTACCATCGGGAAAAAGATTCTCTATCATTTCATAAGAATTTTTTTTTTTTTTTTCAAAATTTTTTTCGACACCAGGAGACACCTCAGGATTTGGGGTTGCGACAGCCAAAGGGTTAAGGCCAAACTTATAAGAGGATTATCAGTAGGTAGCAGACTGGATACTGCTGTTTGCAGCTAAAAAAACACTGAAATTCCCTCTTGAAGTTAATAGCTTGATACATATATAAGTGACATTTCCTAAATTTTCTGTAATTATTCAAAATGAAAACAAAGCTGCAAATGCAGTAACAGTCTGTTATAAAAGCGTCAAGCAAAATACACTAGTACGGTGAACTCTTGGTTATCAGCCACTCTGGATATCGGCCAACTCGGTTATCGTCTGTTTTTTGGACTGAAATTTTATTCTGGTTATCAGCCATACTGGACGCGTCCACCTGCCCACCAGCCAGCCTCTCGCGCATCTAAGTCAGTCTGGCTGTGTCTCTGGGAGAGTGAGGAAGCCTACACTCATTCATCCTAACATTTCTCTTTAATCCATTGTTTTTTATGGTTATTAACTGACTGCAACTGCGAAATAAGCAACCATGGGCCCCAAAAAAGTTCCTAGTAAAGTTCCTTTGGTAAAGAAAGTGAGAAACATGATGGAATTTAAGAAAGAAGTTGAAAAGTATGAGAGTGGTGTTCGAGTGCTAGAACTTGCCAGGATGTATGGGAAATCCAAATGAACTATCACCTCCATCCTGGCAAAGAAAGTAAAAATCAAGGAAGCTAATGTTGGAAAAGCGAGTTTAGCAGGGAGGCAGGGAGTGTAGCAGGGAGGCAGGACCCCAATGGAAATACAGTGGAACCCCGAATATGGGCCGTAATCAGTTCCAGAAGGTTGGCCTAAATTTGAAGCAATATTTCCCATAAGAATTAATGTAATTACAATTGGTAACTTATGAGAGGTTTTTACAAAGCACTTGAATTGTTGTAGGAAGAGCAGAGTACATGTATATGGAGAGTAAAAGAAAGGTGAAGGAAGTGGTGAGAGAGTGCAAAAGCAGAGCAGATCAAAGAGTGGGAGAGGCACTGGCAAGAAATATTGCTGAAAATAAGAACAAATTTTGGAGTGAGAAAAACAAGTTAAGACAGCCTAGGGAACGAATGGATTTGTCAGTTAAAAACAGAGTAGGGAAGTTAGTAGATGGGGAGCTGGAGGTGTTGGGTAGATGGCGGGAATATTTTCGATGAAGAAAGGGAGGCAGTAATTTCATGCACTGGTTAGGGAGGTATAACATTTTTGGAGTGAAGAAGAGCAGGATGTGAGTGTGGGGAAGTTGCGTGAGGCATTATGTAGAATGAAAGGAGGTAAAGCAGCAGGAACTGATGGGATCATGACAGAAATGTTAAAAGCGGGAGGATATTGTGTTGGAGTGGAGGGTACCTAGGTGGAAAGGTACCTAAAGATTGGTAGAGAGCATGTATAGTTCCTTTACATAAAGGGAAGGGGGACAAAAGAGATTGTAAAAATTATAGGGGAATAAGTTTACTGAGTTCTTCATGGGGAAGTGGAACAGAATTCTTCCTGCATAAGCCATGCACGTCGTAAGAGGCGACTGAAATGTCGGGAGCAAGGGGCTAGTAACCCCCTCTGTATATATTACTAAATTTAAAAAGAGAAACTTTCGTTTTTCCTTTAAGGCCACCCCACCTCAGAAGGATACGGCTGGTGTGTTGAAAGTAGTAGTTTACTGAGTTCTTCATGGGGAAGTGGAACAGAATTCTTCCTGCATAAGCCATGCACGTCGTAAGAGGCGACTGAAATGCTGGGAGCAAGGGGCTAGTAACCCCTTCTCCTGTATATATTACTAAATGTAAAAGGAGAAACTTTTGTTTTTCCTTTTGGGCCACCCCGCCTCGGTGTGTTGAAAGAAAAAGTTTACCGAGTATACCAGGTAAAGTGTACGTAGGATTATTATTGAAAGAATTAGAGGTAAGACATAGTAAGATTGCAGATGAGCATGGAGATTTTAGTGTGTTTACATTGAAGCATATATGTGAACAATATTTAGATAAAGGTAGGGTATTTTCATTGCATTTATGGGTTTAGAAAAGGCATATGATAGAGTGGATAGGGGAGCAATGTGGCAGATGCTGCAAGTGTATGGAATAGGTAGTAAGTTGCTAAATGCTGTAAAGAATTTTTATAAAGATAGTGAGGCTCAGGTTAGGGTATGTAGGAGAGAGGGAGACTACTTCCCAGTAAAAGTAGGTCTTAGAAAGGGATGTGTAGTGTCGCCATGGTTGTTTAATATATTTATAGACGGGGTTGTAAAAGAAGTAAATGCTAGGGTGTTGGGGAGTGGAGTGGGATAAAAATTATGGGGAATCAAGTACAAAATGAGAGTTAACATAGTTACTTTTTGTTGATGATACTGTGCTTATAGGAGATTCTAAAGAAAAGTTGCAAAGGTTAGTGGATGAGTTTAGGAGGGTGTGTAAAGGTAGAAAGTTGAGAGTGAACATAGATAAGAGAAAGGTGATGAGGGTATCAAATGATTTAGATAAAGAAAAACTGGATATCACATTGGAGAGAGGGAGTATGGAAGAAGTGAATGTTTTCAGATATTTGGGAGTTGACTTGTCAGCAGATGGGCTTATGAAGGATGAGATAACCATAGAATTGATGGAGGAAAAAAAGGTGAGTGGTGCACTGAGGTATCTGTGGAGACAAAAAACGTTATCTATGGAGGCAAAGAAGGGAATGTATGAAAGTACAGTGGACCCCCGGTTAACGATATTTTTTCACTCCAGAAGTATGTTCAGGTGCCAGTACTGACCGAATTTGTTCCCATAAGGAATATTGTGAAGTAGATTAGTCCATTTCAGACCCCCAAACATACACATACAAACACACTTACATTAATACACTTACATAATTGGTCGCATTCGGAGGTGATCGTTATGTGGGGGTCCACTGTATAGTGGTACCAACACTCTTACATGGATGTGAAGCTTGGGTTGTAAATGATGCAGCAAGGAGGTGGCTGGAGACAGTGGATATGCCCTGTCTAAGGGCAATGTGTGGTGTAAATATTATGCAGAGAATTCGGAGTATGGAAATTACTAGAGGTGGAGTTACTAAAACTATTAGTCAGAGGGCTGAAGAAGGGTTGTTGAGGTTGTTTGGTCATTTAGAGAGAATGGATCAAAGTAGAATGACTTGGAGAGCATATAAATCTGTAAGGAAAGGAAGGAGGGGTAGGGGTCGTCCTCGAAAAGGTTGGAGGGAGGGGGTAGAGGAGGTTTTGTGGGTGAGGGGCCTGGACTTCCAGCAAGCGTGTGTGAGCGTATTAGGCAGTAGTAAATGGAGACGAATGGTTCTTGGGACTTGACGAGCTGTTGGAGTGTGAGCAGGGTAACATTTAGTGGGGATTCAGGGAAAAATGTGTGGTGTAAATATTATGCAGAAAATTTGGAGTGTGGAAATTAGGAGAAGATGTGGAGTTAATTAAAGTATTAGTCGGAGGGCTGAAGAGGGGATGTTGAGGTGGTTTGGTCATTTAGAGAGAATGGATCAAAGTAGAATGACATGGAGAGCGTATAAATCTGTAGGGGAAGGAAGGCGGGGGAGGGGGTCGTCCTTGAAAAGGTTGGAGGGAGGGGGTAAAGGAGGTTTTGTGGGCGAGGGGCTTGGACTTCCAGCAAGCATGCGCGAGCGTGTTATATAGGAGTGAATGGAGACGAATGGTATTTGGGACCTGACATCTGTTGGAGTGTGAGCAGGGTAATATTTAGTGAAGGGATTCAGGGAAACTGGTTATTTTTATATAGCCGGACTTGAGTCCTGGAA